GGAAAAGGCCTGTAGGAAGTGTTCTAGGCTCGAGGGCCGCAGTCCCTCCTGCAGCTCTGCCCTTGTGGGGTGAACTCAGCCACAGACAAAATGCTAGTGGGTGTCAGTAAGACTTTATTTACAGAAACAGGTGATGGGCTGCCATGCACCTGCCACATTCTGGACGTCTCTGGGGCTAAGCTCACGGGCCACATGGGTACAGCGTTACCTAATGGACTCCTGCATGCCTCCTACACCATTCCCATGAATCGTTTCACCTGGCCTTGCATAGGCCAGGCAGGGGTGAGCCCTGGGGACGTGGACGAGCTGGCCGTGATTGGCAGAGTAGGCGTTCCAGAACCACTCTGTTCCCCTAGGGCTTCCTGACAGCCCAGGGAAGCCGGAACCTGCGGGCTGCCCGTGCCCTGGAGCACACATTTGCCCCCGTGACCGATGGAGCTGTCTCCACACTGCTGGGTCTCCTCATGCTTGCTGGTTCCAACTTCGACTTCATCGTAAGGTAGGGGAGGGCTTCGGGCACCGAGACAGGGCCTGTCCCCACCGGCTTCAGGAACGGCCCCCGCTGACTTCCACCCCCCCACACCAGGTACTTCTTCGTGGTGCTGACAGTGCTCACGCTCCTGGGCCTCCTGCACGGACTTGTGCTGCTGCCTGTACTGCTGTCCATCCTGGGCCCACCCCCAGAGGTGAACATACCCTCCCCTGACCCAGAGCCAGGACAAAATGTCCTCAGTGGCCTACAGTCAGGGCTCAGCTCCCCTAACCACAGCAGGGCCGCCAGCCGCCTCCTTCCCCCAGACACCAAGCTCCCGCCCCTCCACCTCCTGGCTTCTTCATGGGATTCACCTGAGCCTTCTAGGACCCAGAGCAAAGTGCAGTGTCTGCACCTGCTGGCATCAGCTCTCAGGTCCTGCTGGAGACCAGCAGCGAGCCCAGCCTCCCACAGTCATGGCGATCAAAGGGAACGTGCGAGGGGGCTCTGTAGCACAGCAGCCCCTGAGCTCACTGGGGTGGGTCTCCCCTTAGGTGATGCAGATGTACAAGGAGAGCCCGGAGGCCCTGAGCCCCACAGCTCCACGGGAAGGCGGGCTCAGGTGGGGGATATCCCCCACCCTGCCCCAGAGTTTCGCCAGAGTGACTACCTCCATGACCGTGGCCCTCCACCCACCTCCGCTGCCTGGTGCCTATATCCACGCCGCCTCTGACGAGCCCACTTGGTCCCCTGCTACCACCCCAGCTGCCAGCGGGCCTGGCAGCCCCAATTCTAGAGGACCCTGTCCGGCCACTGAGTGAAGGAGCGGCTGAAGTGAGGAGACCCTGCCTGGGCCACGGCAAGCCACCAGGAAGCGCTGTGTGGGGTACTGGATGCAGGCTGACCCCCGGAGGGCCCCGCTGCTGCTGTCTGCATCGCTCCGACCCGGCCATCACAGACCTCCCTGATAGCCCTACACAGCACCCGCCCCTGAGCTGCGGGCAGCCTGTGTGCCAGTGTGCTGGGTCGCGGTGAAAGCCGGCGCTTCAGGCTGCAGGGCGGTCCTGTGCCCCCACCCCCGCACACTGCTGCCCTCCCAGCAGAGCGAGCCGGAGGGAGGGAGGGGTCCTTTCCACCCTTGGCCAGTCCTGGCCTCCCACTGCTCGGCGACTCCCGGGTAGGCTCTATCCCTGCCCGTTTCCTTCCACTTAAGTTATTTATAAAGATGTTTATTTTTGTAATATCTATAGATGTTAGCTCTGCTGAAAGTTTTATTTTTAAAAGAGTGAAATATATTCTATGAGACCTCATCTCAGGTGACTGTGTTGAACAGAGTTAGAAGTTTGCAAGCGAAGATTAGATTTTGGAGGTGGCTTATGGTGACCAGGGCCCGAGGTCCTGGGGCTTTTGTAGTTCCGGGTGGGAAGGCCCACATTCTGAATATTTGTTGTGACTCCGAGTCCTCAAGATACAAAATGGCACAGGTGACTCTGTTGTCAAATCCTGTGTGACTTTCACAGCCTTCGTTCTCCAGCCCTGCCCACCTCTGCAGACTCCCTGCCACCTTCCTGCTTCATCGGTCCAGGGGCAGGGGCACAAGGGCAAAGCCTCGACAGGTGGGAGAGGAAGTGAAAGCAGATGGGGAAGGTAGAGTTGATGGGGATCACCCAGTCTGGTGGGGAGATTTCAGGAAGTCCGTGCACCAAGGGAAAGCAGCCGTGGCCCAGAGCAGACTCCAAGGCATCGGCCTCCGCAAGTCAGCTGTCAGCCCAACCCTGGGTGGCGTATGTGGACCGGATGGGGGAGGTGTCCAGAAATGGGGGTGTCAGCACCCAGTGAGGACACTGGGTTTAAGCTGTTTTTGAAAGCTCAACAGGCCGGCTCCGCAGCTCAATAGGCTAACCCTCCACCTAGCGGCGCCGGCACACAGGGTTCTAGTCCCGGTCGGGGCGCCAGATTCTTTCCCGGTTGTCCCTCTTCCAGGCCAGCTCTCTGCTGTGGCCCGGGAAGGCAGTGGAGGATGGCCCAAGTGCTTGGGCCCTGCACCCCATGGGAGACCAGGAGAAGCACCTGGCTCCTGCCATCAGATCAGCGCAGTGCGCTGGCCGCAGCATGCCGGTCACGGCAGCCGTTGGAGGGTGAACCACCGGCAAAGGAAGACCTTTCTCTCTGTCTCTCTCTCTCACTGTCCACTCTGCCTGTCAAAAAAAAAATAATAAATAAATAAATAAAAAACAAAAAGCTTACTACTCTTGAACCAGTACTAAATACCTAGAAAGCCTTAGAAGAAAAGGGCAGTTGGTTTAGAAGCTGGCACGGGGGTGCATCTCGCACGCCCTTGGAAGTGGAGGCTGCATGTGGGTCCAGGAGAACTTGGGTCACTACAGAGCTTTGCAGTGGAACAGAAGCCAGAAGAGTGCAAGAGATCAGCTCACGCGCTGCAGACTCCCCGGCCTCACCTCACTGAGCCACAGTGTTGTCGTCTGTGAAATGGGATAACTGGGGCCTCTTTTGGAGGGTGTTTTATTTTTTTGTTTCAGGATTGTAAATGAAATAATTTATGCAAGAAATGACCTAGCATCTCAAGGGTGCTTTCTGTTTTTGTATTTTTTTTTTAATTGGTACAGATGAAGAAAGTTTCTGCTCTGGTTGCTTAGGGAACAATATGGAAACGGGGGTGGGGAGTATGGTCTGAGGTCCTGGAGTGGCAGCTGCCAAAGGGAATTGTAGGTGGCACAGTGGGTTGAAGCGCTGGCATGCCATATGGGCACCGGTTCAAGACCCAGCTGCTCCATTTCTGATCCAGCTCTCTGCTATGGCCTGGGAAAGCAGTAGAAGATGGCCCAAGTGCTTGGGGAAGAAGCTCCTGGCTCCTGGCTTCAGATCGACGCATCTCCCGCCGTTGCGGCCAATTGGGGAGTGAACTATCAGATGGAAGACCTCTCTCTCTCTACCTCTCACTGTAACTCTATCAAATAAATAAAATAAATCTTATTTTAAAAAGGGGGGGTGGGGATTGTAGGCTTTGGGTGCTCCGAGTGCTTGCAAGGCCCCCACCCTGTGTGGCCCCTCGCACTACTCAGCTGCTGACCTCAGCACTCTGCTGCGGCTCCCCTTCACTGGCAAGATCAAACCCCAAGTTCTGTTCAGGCCCGCCTGGATCGAGTTCTGTCGATCCCCCAAGCCTCAGCTCTCAGGAGACGGCGCCAGACTCCGCCCTCCTAAGCCCACCCACATTGCCACACCCAGTCTCCCTTCTGCAGGCTCCAGACTTTCAACGGTCTTCATCTGCCTAATTCCGCACGGGCCGAGCCCTCTGCCCCCTTGGCCTCTCCCCGAATCGTCCTTGGAGTTGAACTGGGTGCCGTCTCCTCCCGGAGGGGTGTGTTGTGCCTCCTATGCGGTCTCCTACTGCCCCCGAGGGTCCGTGCTTGGCCGTCTCCCTAGGTGGGAGCGCCCTGCGAGTCATGAACAGCAGGACTGAACCCTAACAATCGGGGTTGACACGCATCCCCGCCCCTGAAGGGAACGGCCCCCCGCACCTCTCAAGACAGACGGGCGTGGCCCGGGAAAAGGAGAGCAGCGGCTCAGGTGTCCCCGCAGCCCCGCCCCCTCCCGCGGCCGGGACCGCCTGTGATTTGCATACCCATGCTGCACCACGGAAAAACGACTCTTCCCAAAGCCTAATTTTCATTCCCCTGAGGTGCCCCCCGACTAGAGTAGGCATGGAACTGTTAGAAATATTTGTACAAGTAAACTACATGCAGGTCGCGCGTACCCGCCTACGCATTCCACAACCGTAAGTGTATTAAGTGAAATCTCTCTTTAGGATTGTGGATGCCCCACCAGTTCAGTATACTCTGGTTTCTCTTCAGATCGTATAAATCTTTCGCCTTTTACTAAAGATTTCCGTGGAGAGGAACAATTTGAGTCGTTTACCAATTTTTTGAGGCTCTGCTTTTTGCAGGGCTGCTTTTTCTCTTGTTAAAAAATAGAATTCTCTAGCTGGTAAGGTTCTCTTGATGTGACTTCCTTGGGGTTGCACAGTAAGTCTGATCTTAACCCAGCACGTGAGAGTGCGTCAGAGTAAGGCTTCTTCCAGCCTGGGGTAACATTCAAGAATATTCAAAATACCATACCAGTTATCATATTTAGGGGTGAAGTTATCCGTGGTCCTCCTTCCCCAGACCACTCTTTCCCTGTCTCCCACCTCCTCCACCCGCCCCAATTCTCCTAGAGAAACCAAATTATTTTTAAAAATATGTCCAGTCACATACACCACTCTCCTGAACAACAACAACAAAAACCCTGCAATGTCTTTTGCCAGGATACCCACGTCCCTTCTCAGATCCTAATGTTATCTCCTAATGTTATCTCATCAGAGGTCTAAACTACCCTGCATGAAACAGCCCCATTCCCACTATGTGGTTTTTAATCTGCTTTATTTTTTCCATAACACAACTACTCTGAAATAATGCATCTGTTGGTGTACCTGAGTGAGTGCAAACAAAGGAGTACCACACATTGATAAAATTCGATGGTCCTTTATTGCTGGCGGTAGAGTGGGCTCATGCCCTAAAAAACCCTCGACCCCAAAACCCAAAGTAACAGGGTTTATAAAGGCAAAAGCCCCAAAATCAGGAGGGGAATACATGGTTGCTAGGATCGGGGAGAATACATGGTTACTGGGGTCAAGCTGACCTAAAACCCATGTGAAACTAGTATCAATTATAATCTTGACCATACCAGTTACAATCTTAACAATTTCAATTATAATCTTGACATTAATCCAGGTATTGGTTTTAATCATACGTAGGACATAGACAAATTACATTTTTATCATTAACCCAGGTGCAGCCTATCCACTTCCAAGCTTGAGCGATCATGCTAGGGGGTTTCTATGCTCTGCCAAGCGTAATGCAGTGGACTGCTATTGTCCGACTGTTTTAGATCATAGTTTCAGACCAGAGCCTCACGGTGTGGGGGGTACCTTCCCAGAATGGAATCTCAGGTTCTCCAAAATGGAATCCCTACTGTCAAGGTGCTACTTCACTATTTCCTTACTCTTTTCCTGTTATTTCTTTCTCCCTAGGATGTAAGCTCCATGAGGCTACTTAGCTTTTTTTTTTTTTTTTTTAAGTTTTATTTATTTATTTGGAAGAGTTATAGAGAGAGGTCTTCCACCTACTGGTTCACTCCACAGATGGCTGCAACAGCCGGAGCTGGGCCAGGCCAAAGCCAGGAGCCAGGAACTTCATCTGAGCCCAAGCATTTGGGTCATCTTCCACTGCTTTCCCCAGGCTTATTAACAGGGAACTGGATCAGAAGTGAAGCAGCCAGGACTCGAACCTGCACCCTTATGGGATGTAGCTTTTACCTACTACACCACAATGCCAGCCACTTGACTTGTTTTCTGATATATTCCCTAAATCAATGTCTTGCCCATGAACACTTGTTACTTACTTTCTAAACATATATACAGTATTTAATCTGTCTCATTAAAGGTCTATGTGCTTTAAAAAAATTAGTTTCATTTTCCTGACAACTCTACTTAACTTAAATGGACTCTATTATCTCCATTTTATTTTATTTTATTTTATTTTTTATTTGACAGGTAGAGTTAGAGAGAGAGAGAGAGAGAGAGAAAGTTCTTCCTTCCATTGGTTCACCTTCCAATGGCCACTACAGCCGGCACTGTTTGGATCTGAAGCCAGGAGCCAGGTGCTTCCTCCTGGTCTCCCATGCAGGTGCAGGGACCCAAGTATGTGGGCCACAGCAGAGAGCTGGACTGGAAGAGGAGCAACTGGGACTAGAATCCGGTGCCCATATGGGATGCCAGCACCGCACGTGGAGGATTAACCAAGTGAGCCACGGCTCTGGCCCCAAAATAGCTTTTTGAACTGAGTGAAGCCACTTAACCTATGCCTCACTTCCCTTGTTTATAAAATGGAGATAATAGGATCCGGGCCCCTGCACCCGCATGAGAGACCAGGAGGAAGCACCTGGCTCCTGGCTTTGGATCGGCGCAGCACACTGGCTGTGGCGGCCATTTGGGGGTGGTGGTGAACCAACAGAAGGAAGAACTTTGTCTCTCTTTCTCACTGTCTGTAACTCTACCTGTCAAAAAATAAATAAATAAATAAATAAGGCTGGCGCCACGGCTCAATAGGCTAATCCTCCGCCTAGTGGCACCGGCACACCGGGTTCTAGTCCCGGTCGGAGCACCGGATTCTGTCCTGGTTGCCCCTCTTCCAGGCCAGCTCTCTGCTGTGGCCTGGGAGTGCAGTGGAGGATGGCCCAAGTGCTTGGGTCCTGCACCCTCATGGGAGACCAGGAGAAGCACCTGGCTCCTGCCATCGGATCAGCGCGGTGTGCCAGCCACAGCGTGCTGGCCGCGGCGGCCGTTGGAGGGTGAACCAATGGCAAAGGAAGACCTTTCTCTCTGTCTCTCTCTCTCACTGTCCGCTCTGCCTGTAAAATAAATAAATAAAGCTATTTTAAGTAGCGGAGCTCCAAGCATCCTGGCTCCAGAAGACTGACAAGAACTTTTCTTCTGCCCTCCCACCTTTTTTTTTTTTTTTTTTTTTTTTTTTTTCTTTAAGATTTAGGCAGAGTTACAGAGAGTCAGAGGCAGCGAGAAAGAGATCTTCCACCCACTGGTTCACTCCCCAGATGGCTGCAACAACCAGAGCTGGGCCTATCCAAAGCCAACAGACAAGAGTTTCTTTCAGATCTCCCATGCAGGTGCAGAGGCCCAAGCACTTGGGCCATCTTCCACTGCTTTCCCAGACCATAGCAGAGAGCTGGATTGGAAGAGGAGCAGCCAGGACCCGAACCAGTGCCCATATGGATGACAGCATTTTTACCCACTACACAGAGCATTGGCCCTCTAACCTTTGTTTTAACAAAAGGAATCAGCTATACTTGGCGTACACTGTACTTTTTCCCCCAAAAAGCATGGAAATTGTGTGTGTGTGTGTGTGTGTGTGTGTGACTTATTTATTTGAAAGGCAGAGTGAGAGGGAGAGGCAGAGCACTTCCAACCGTTGGTCACTCCCCAAATGGTTGAGATGGTTGAGGCTGGGCCAGGCTGAAGCCAGGAACCAGCAACTCCATCTTGGTCTCCACAAGAGTAGCAGGGCCCAGTTACTTTGGCCATCGTTTGCTGTCTTCCCAAGCGTGTTAACAGGAAACTGGATGTGAAGTGGACCAGCCGGGGCTCAAATCAGCACTGGATATGGGATGCCTTTGTCACAAATGGAGGCTTCCTGCTACGCCACAACTCCAGCTCCATCTTTTTGCTTTGTAGGAACACACCACACTTCAGCCAGTCCTTTATTACAGACATACAGTTTATATTCAGTTTTCGTTATCCAAACAATGCTGCCTTGAAGTGGTACCACTAAATGACCACATTTTCAATGTGGAGAGAGAATACCAAATAACCATCTTTAATCTGTGTGCAATAGATTTTTTTATAAGACCCCTGAGTCAGAAATCTAACTTTATTTTTTCCTAAATAGACTACTGCCCCTTTTAGATTGATGGTATCTTGTTTTACAACTCCTTTAAAACTTTTTAATGGAAATAAAGTGGCATTTAAGTAAGGAAATAAAGTCATTCACTTGACATTTTCAGAGCACCGATTATACAATAGAGACTGACAAGCAAAAAATGAACAAGGCACACTCCGGGCCCTAGGGGTTTTTCCCCAGAGAGAGTTAGGTTCTCAGGAAGACAAGATGTATGACGAATGCGAGAGACCAGCTTTCCATGACTAAATCGGGGCCAGAGGACTAGCAGTACCTCCAGGATAAATGAACTTTTGTAAAGGTAAGGGCGAGGAGTTGCTAGTATTTAGTAACCGCTGGTAGTTTTGAGTGTCCTGACGGTGAACTACGTTTGTTTTTGGTCTGGAGAGCACGGGGAGGCGGAGGGACTTAATCAAGGAAGCAGAGTTGACGGAATAGCACAGATCTGGCTGCAGCGTGGGAAACGGAGCGAGGCGGCGCTGGAGTGAGGACAGAGACTGAGACGTGGGAGGAGGGCAGCCGGAGAACTGGACCAACTGGAAAGGTGGCTTAAAAGGTGGGAATGGCCCGGGGCAGGTGTGCGAGCTTAGGCAAGGATGAGATCCTGGTTTCCGGCAGGGGCATCCACGGACATCAGAAACACGACCGGGGCAGAGATGAGGAAAGACGGGACGCTCGACTTTGCACTGAGCCCATGGGGTATTCAGGGAGAGAGGAGGCCGCGCTGAAAAGGGACGTGAGTGTCGTCAGAGTAGCCGGGCGCACGAAGGTGCCCAGGCTTGGGGCATAGGGCAAGGGAGTGGCGCGAAGGAGATCCAGGCTTCCGGGCGTCGCCCCGCCTCGCGGGGAGGGGCAGCCAAAACCCGCCCCTTACCGTCCCGCCCTCGTCCCCCTAGCAAAGAGCGCACGCGCGGCCGAGACGGCCCTTCCGGCACGCCGCTCGCGGGGTGTGCTGGGAACGGAAGCGCTCCGAGCGCCGAGCATTTCGGGAGCTGTAGTTTGGCAGGCCGAGTCGCGCAGACCCAAGAGTCCTCGCAAGTCCCAGCCTTGGGTCACTTGAAGGGCAGCTCCAGAAAGCGGTGATGCGCCCGAGGAAGGGTGCCTCTCCGGCGGCGGCACGGAGCGCCCCGGGCTGGATCTCCTCTCCGCAGAGCGTGGCACTTCCACGCCTCTACGATCTGCTCCACCTGCAGGGGAATGCCGGTCACCGCGGAGCTGTCTACCCCAAGACCCCGGACCGGACTGCGCCCCCGCCCCGCACCTTGTCCCCACGCTGCTGAGTAGAGCTATGCCAGGGTCCCGGCATCCGCACCGGAATGAGAGGCTCCCGCCGGTTCTGCTCCTCTAAGGCGCTCAGCTCCGCCGGGGCCAGCAAGGCCAGTCTCAGCTCTCGCACCACCGGAGCCGCCACCTCAGCCACCGGCCGCTCCAGCACCGCCTGCGAACCAACGCCGGCCCTGAGCCCGAGCTGCGCGAGAGCACCTGCCCCGCCGCCCTGAGCGCTTCCTGGGCACCTAGGCCGGCCCCACTCACTGCGCCCACGCGCGCCCAGCTCCGGGCAGCCCGAACCAGCTCAGCCTCGTCCACGCAGAGCATGTCGCTGCGCAGCAAGGGCAGCAACGCTGAAGCCGACAGCTCCAGGAAGCCGCGAGTCCGGAGCACTTCCTGCGGAGTGCATGGGTCAAGCGGGAGCAGAACCGGGTGTGTGGGGTTAGGAGGAAGAGGATGGGAAGCTGTACCTGGCTGTGGGCCTCTATGAAGGCTATGCAACGCTCCTGCAGTGGTCCCAGGCCAAAGGTTACAGCCACCTGGGAGCAGAATGAGGGAGGGCAGACTGGAGACTGCAGAGGCCACACAGCCCAGCCCTCTACCCTGGAAACCGCCACTGCAAGACTGGGCCCAGGGCACCCCAGGAAACTGGACCCAGGGAAGCCTCGTCCCACCCCGTTTCACATGTGCATATGCTAGCGGGTGCTACTGGACACCATGCGTGCCCTTCTCCTCCCCCTCAGCTGCGAACCACAGCCAGCCCTGAATAGAAGACCAGCAAAGACCTCCCACCCCTTTACTCCCGGCCCCTGACCACGCTGATGTACACAGGACTCCACAGATCCGGGTGCAGAACTGATTGCAGAAGCATCCTCAGAACACCCCTGCCTCCTCCGTCACCCAGGTGTTTCCAGGAAACATGGAGAGTCCCAGGCTCCTGGCACCTGGGGGCCAGCTCCACATGCCGAGAGCCTGGTTGCCCAGCAACACCCACCTGCAAGGCCTCACAAACCAACTCCACATCCAGCACCTTCATCACAAACTCCAGGCACAGCTGGGAGCAGAAAGGAAAGTGGGTTTTATGGACGTGTCCCTGCTCTAAAACTCAAGTTCCATCCCAGGAGCGCGAGCAGGCTCTGGAGAATGAGCCCCCCAGGCTGCAGCGGCCTGGCCCCTGCCGCCCTCCAGGTAGAAGGCGGCAGGAAAGAGCCAGGACCTGAGACCTGGCACACGGCAGCAGCTTCCCTTCTACCACATTTGCCACTAATCACACCAGCTAAGAGGCATAAAAAATTCCCCTCTCCCTTTCTCGGGACGCTGTCTCCTGTTTACTCCCTTCTTGACTCAAAGTCACGTCTGTTTCCCAGAAACTTGACTTTCATTCCCAGTGTCCTTTTCCCCTCCTCACATTCAGCAAGGTACTCGGTCGTGTCGGTTCCACCTGCCCTCTCAGAGCCACCCTCCTCCCGGGCCTCCCTGCTGCCCCCTGCCGGCCACAGCATCTCGTGACCGCTTCACTCACCACCGCCTAGCGCCTCCCATCTCTTCTAGCCCCTCACCCCAAATCCTCAGTCCCTTACCTGAGACCTTCAGCGACTCCACTGCACGGACTGGGGCCTGGTGCCCTCTTCTCACACCCCTAGCACTTAGCTTCATCTGTCACGCTTCTGTGTTTTTGTGCATCTACCTCCTCTCTGGAGAACAGGGGTCAGAGCTGACTCACCCTTGGACCTACAGCACCAGCTGAAAATACCCTCCATGCGCCCCCAGCACACACAGGACATGCACAGATCCTTTTGGAAACAGGTGCAGACCCACGCCCTGTTCCCACCGTGAGATAGCCACTCTTTTCTCTGGATGGGCACACATTCCTCTCCAGACCAGAGTGTATGTGAACTGAGCCTGTGACGGGCAAGGGAAACAAGACCGGGGCCTGGCACAAAAACCTACCTCTCGCAGTTCCTCTAGCCCGTACTCCACAGCCGCGGTCAGCACCTCCAGCACCTGCAGAGTGCATGGTTGGGGGAGCAGAAGGGAGTTCCCCGTGGCCCTCAGCCCACAGCGCGACAAGCAAACTCCTGCCTCTCCCACCCGGGCCCCTGCTCAGTGGGCTCACGGAGTGACGCTGCAGCTGGACACTGTTGGTATACAGGAACTCCAGCACGGCCAGGAAGGCCTCAGCGGGCACCGTGCCCAGCACCACGGGACTAGGCACCCCAGAACTCGCTCCTGCTCCCAGAAGTCGCTGGAAGAAGTTGCATCTGCAGGCCAGCAAGCAGCGGTGGGCAAATACCTCCTGCTGCTCTTGACCGACCACAAAGCAGACATCACTGTGGGAGAGAGAGGCAGGGGTGTGGGGGAAGGGAGGCCAGAGGCCAGAGAGCAGCTTGGGCTTTGCCTTTGTTGTCTACTCTGGGCCTTGGTTTCCTTATCTGTAACAAAGGCCATGGGGCTCAATGCTTCCAGCAGGAGGTGCAGATACTAGTTCTAGACCCAGTCCAACCCGTGGTAGCCCAGGCAAGTGACTTCCGGTCTTTGCATCACTGCTGTCTCACCCGTGAAGTGGGACGGGACTCCCACGCCTCGGGTCTCAGGAGGTGGCTGCGCTTGATCCCTGAAGGTGCACCAGGGCTGATGCAACCAAGACGATCCCCCACCCCCTCCTCCCCAGTCGCAGTTTCAGGGGAAGCAAAGCTCCCCTTGGCTCTCCTCCGCTGGCTGCAAACTCAGCTTTTTTTTCAGCCCTCCTCCAGGCAAAAGAGTGGGTGTGGGGCGCCTAGTGTGCTCGACTACAGACAGATACGGCAGTGATGCACTGTCATGAGGCCAGACCACATTTTCCATCTTCGTGATCACTTCCTGCCCCAGCCTCCGGGCCTCTGAATGAGGTCGGGGGCAGGGGGTAGGCGTTGAAGCCTCCTACTTCCAGCTCCAAGAACCGGCGTTCCCACCACTCAGACCAGACCGCGACCCCCAGAGAAGCAGCTTTGGCAGTCACCAACCCTTGGGGAAGCGTCCGGACTGGAGACAGTGACAGCTGAGAGCTGCATTCTAGCTCTCCTGAGTAGCCCTGCCCCCCCTCCCCCCCCAGGCTCTCAGACACGCGGAGCGTCTGGGGCGAGCCAGGAGCAGTCAGCACTCTTGAACTACTTCCTGTCTGGGACTCTGGTCAATCGCTCGAGCTTTGTTTCTCGTGTGCAGCCCCGGGTTTCCAGAACACAGTCATCTGCTCTCTGCCTCTCCTAGGAGGGAAGCCCCCCCCCACCCCGCCCCGGGCTGTGGTTGATGGGGTGGGGGGTGGCGCACGTGTGAACTGAGTCACACTCCATCTCTCAGGGAGCCAAGAGCTCTTTTCCCCTCGGCCAGAAGCTGAGATCCAGAGAGAGAAGGCCGTGGCCTGAGCCCACACTGCCCCCAGGGCGCAGGGACTGAGCCAGCAGTCACCTGAGCTCCTCACAGACGAGCTCACCAAGGGGGAGGGGCCAAGTGCACATTCCCTGCCTCTTCTTCACCCAAGACCTCCTCAGAGCCCTCTAGGGAAAGTCCCCAGACGGGACTGCCCCTCACCTGTATTGGGGGTTGTTGATGAGGCTTCGGAGCGCTGTGGCGAAGGGCGCAGCCTCCCCGTGCACGAGTCCTGGGGTCTCCATTGGGGGGACAGGGCAGGAAGCAGCTGGTGTGGCCGAGGAGGTCTGCCAGGCCCTAGAGCGGCTGAGGAGCCGAGAAAGGCCCGAGTGGGAGGGGGAGACGCTTGGGAGGCCTGTTTGCTAGGAGGTTGGAGTTTAGGGACAGAGGGCAGGTTCCTGAAGAAGGCATCAGAGGCCGGTGGAGGAGGCCAGAGGCTCAGCGAGAGGGGCAGACACAGAGAGGGGCCCAGAGAGGCTGAGGATGGAGCAGTCTGCGGTCTGGGGAGGAGACTAGCAGCCGATGAGGCCCAGGCTGGGAACCTGCCCAGGCAGCCACAGGGTGGGAAGCCCGTGGTTTCCATGGAAACCGGAGCTAGGCCCGGGAAGAGGCCCCGCCCACCTCCCCGCAAGCCCAGGGAAAACTGGCCCGCCTTAAAGCCTTGAAACTGCCCGCCCTCCCAGCCCTCCCTTCCCCACAGGCACACCGGGTCAGGATCCGGCCAGCTCAGCCTGGGAAACCCCCCTCCGTGGGGAAAATCCTCATCTCACAGCCGGCTCTCAGGATGCAGATTTGGCTTTTTGGGGGAGGGGCCATCCTGTTCCTCCAGAGGGGTCAGGTGAGGAGGTGTCAGCGCCTCTGGCATCCCTGCGATGCACTGCTGGCTGGCAAGGGGGAGGCAGTAATCTAGACACTGGAGCACATGAGAGGTGTGGCCAGCTGGGGACCAGTCCCAGGACACTTGGGTCATCAAGGGTCAGGAGACCAGACTCGGGTTCACCATGGAGTCAGGACTGCGTCAGGCCTGGCTCCAACCAGCTGAGCCAATGGCTTCCCCTCCCCCCCACACAGCCCAGAAGTGAGGAAGTCATCCAAGCCCCACCCTAGCTCTGCGCCTGGAGCGGAAATGCTTGTCCTCATTGAGGCTGATGGGGAGAAGATACAACCATGACGCACGCCTTCCTTTCCTGTGGGCCTGGATCATGGATTCCTGAGCAGCCGCCCCCGCAGCCTCCAGGGCTCCCCTTCGGCCAGGCTTCTGCGACTCATTCACATCTTTCAGCCATTCCGCGGGGGAAATGGACAGCTGCTCAGCCCGCAGCAGGAGGTCCCCTTTCCCGCTGGGCCCCTCAAGGCTCCCTGTCGTGGTGGGGTGCTCGAGCCCCAAGCCCATGCAGCTCCCTTCTTCCCCACGGCTCAGTGCCACGCCACGCTCAGCAAGGGCCTGGAGTAACAACGCTCTCAGGTTGTACCAGCAGGACAGGAGGGAGGGGCAGTGGGCGGGAGGAGCGCTTGCCCCAGCAACGTGTGGCAACTCCACAACACAAGCCCTTTTCCTCCTACCTGCCGGTCAGGCCAGCCAGGCGGCTGTGCAGCCAGGAGATAGCTTGGAGGCCAAGGGCTGTGGGTGACTCAGGTGCCCGAGGGAGTTTCGGGAGAAAAGGCCAGAACAGATCTAAAGAGGTGGCGCTCAAGGCAGCAGGTGGAAGGAGCTTCCTGAGTCACCAGCCCCCAGTCTCTTCAGGGGGTGATGGTTGCACCAGCCATCTGAAAGCAGGTAGGGGTGCAGGTAGGATGACTGCACTCAATAACCCTGGAGCTAGAAGAATCTGTGGGCTTCAAAGAATTGGGTCTGTCCATTCCTCCTGTGGAGGGGTCAGGGCACCACTCGCACTGACCAAACCGAGTCAGATGGTGGCTACACTTCCCCTTCTCCCACTAGGTGGGAAGCAGAGAAGGAAGGGTACTTCGGGCTCACCTGCTGACCTCCATAGAGTCCGAGGGACAGTGTGGCTCCAGGTTCACAGTCTGAGCAGCGTCCCTCCCCTCGCTTACGTCCCTAACAGCCCTTAACGCTCTAACACCTAGGAAGCTGCACGGCCCAGCACTGCTTGATCCACTGGTTCCAAAAACACAGGTAAGGAGGGGAAGGGGGACTGAAACCCTTGACATCACGGGTAAAGACGGGGTGGTGGAGAAAGATGGCCACGCCGGCCACCCTAAGTGTGGGTCCTCCAGTCCACAGACCCATGGCTGCCAGGCCTTTGCCCACCGGGTGCCAGGAGGAGGAGACTGCCAAAGACCCCGGGCCGAAACCAGTGGCAGTGAGGCCCCGGGGCCGCCTGCCCAGCATCGATGAGGACCGACCCACAGGTGTTGGCCCAGCTTCCCGCCGTGGCTCCGTGCTGGGCCTAGCCGCCTCCTTCTCACGCCGCAGCTCGCTGGCTGGGCCAGGCACAGGTCCTGGAGGCCGACGACCATCCCTGGGCCCACTGCCCCCTCTCGGCTCACGGGTTGGCTTCTCCGGGTTGCCTCTGGCACCTGCCCGGCGCGTGGCACCCTCGCATCGCAGGGAGCCGGTGCCCGGGGAGCGCTGGGAGGTTGCACGTGCACAACGGGCCCTGGAGGCGGCGCTGGCGGCCAGGCTGCAAAACACCTGCTACTCCGGCACCGAGGCGGGGCGGCTAACGAAGGAGCTCTGCGACCAGGTGCGCGTGCGCCTGCGCGAACTCTGCCCGCCGCGCTACAAGCTGGTGTGCAGCGTGGTGCTGGGGCCACGTGCCGGCCAAGGTGTGCACGTGGTCAGCCGCGCACTCTGGGACGCGGCCCGCGACGGCCTGGCCTCCGCCACTTTCACCAATGCGTCACTCTTCGCCGTGGCCACCGTCCACGGGCTCTACTATGAGTGAATAGGCCTCCAAGTTCTGCAAAAACAGTTTATTGTCCCAGGAGGGCCCCCCCTGGGCTCACATCCCAATAAATAAATGTTAATAAATAAAAGTGGTCCATAAATAACACCCCCTAGCCGGGGGCTATGGCTCAGGCTTTTGGAGAGAGGCGGGAGTCATCAGGGACAGACCACCCCCAGCTCCAGTAAAGCTGGTCCCTGATTCCCTGGGGGATTCAGCCTAGAGCACCCCCCCCCCCCAGTGAGGCACCAAAGGGACAGAAAGGGCCACAAAGGCAAGGGCCAGGGCCATACGGGCACAGGCCTCAGGCTGGACAGTTTGGCTCACGGCCCGCTCTGCAAGTTAGGGCCTAGGCTGGGCTGCGGTCCCTGAGCAGCCGCAGAGCGTAGCGGAGTCGCTGCCGCAGGTCGGGCGAGCAGCCCAGCTGCCGCAGGTGGGAAGCGAGGTAAGTACAAGCACTGCGATTCCGGGCCACAAAGGTTACAAGCAGAGGCTCCCAGCCACTGAGGATCAGCTTGGTGTGGTCCCCGTAGAAGTTCACCTGTGCACAGCAGGGGGACACCGATCAGCGCCTAAGCCCCGGGCCCAGTTTCCACCCCGCAGGTCTTGCCCCCAAATGCAGGTTAGGCTCTTACCTGGACAGTGCCATCACTAAACAGCATGAGCAGGGCCTGATCCGTCTTGACCCACTGCAACAGCAAGGGCGGGGCAGGCACCTCCACCTCTTCCACGCTGGGCAGATCTCCACCCTGAGAGCGGGGGCGGGCAGGTCACGGGGCTGACGTGAGTCGGGCCCCTTCCCCACTGATGCTCCCTAGCCTCGAGCCCGACCCCGCCACCCCCGCCCCAGAGGGGAACCAGAAGGGATGAGGAGGGTCCCTCCGCGGCGCCGTCCCCAAGGCCACACACCTTCATGAGGTGCTGCTCCATGTACGAGGTGAAGTACCGCAGGACGCCCAGCTGCGGCTGCAGGGCCCGGGGCACGGCACCCACGGAGAAGGAGAAGTGCTTTGTGCTCGTGGGGTTGTAGTGCACAGTCCTGGAAGGGTAGAGGCAGAGGTCAGGAACTCGGGAGTGCCCACCAGGGTAAGGACAGCAGCCTGCACACGAGGCACCCCCGGCAGCACTTACTTTCTGTTGGCTGACAAGGCCATGTGAGTGCCATCGTTGAAGAGCACAGCTACGCGGCGGCTGGACAGCTGATACCCAAAGCCAAACTTGTTGGAGTAGTCAACCCACTTGCTGACCCACACAAGAGGCTCCGGCTGGGCCAGAGGGGCCGGGTTCTGTTCCGCTGTCAGAGAGGAGGGCGTTAGGACCTGCTTCTGACTTTCCAGCCAGATAACTCCGGCTACGGTCCCCGGGTACCAGACCCAGCCTTACCTGGGGGCATGAAAGCCACACAGTTTCTCAGGGCACAGAGGGCTGACTCCACCACCGTGGCCACGGTCAGACCTTCTTCAAACCCTGAAAGGAACAAGCAGTAGGGTGTCAGCATTCACCCAACCCCCCACGGATGCGGGCCACGTCTCCCTGTCCGTCCCTTCCCTCTGGCCTTGGGCTCAGCCCCAGCCACTGCTAGCACTTCAAGCTCCAGAGCCCTCACCATCTCCGCTGCTCGCCGGCGTCCCACGGGGGGAGCTGTCTTCACCCGCTGTCTCTACCAGGCTGACGGGAGGTGGGCCAGAAGCTGCTGGAGCCTGGAGGGTTACACAGGGGAAGGGAACGAGCTAGGTCCCCAAATCCAAATCCTTGAGCCCATGGCCCAACCCCGCCCTGGCTCCCAGGGCACCGCAGGTCAGCTCTGCCTGGCTAATGAGACCCAGCCAATTAGGCCACCATGAGGCGAGCTGCTTCCCCAGCCTCTTTTATTCCAGGCTTCCGTGGGCTGCTGGGGTGGGGGTGAGTCAGGGCAACGGCGGCCATGTGAGTTGCTCACCTCGGGCCTGGCATCCTGGTGGCCAATGGATGTGCGCACAAGGCCGCTCACCAAACAGGAGACTTCATCCCGCTCCTCAGGATGGTTCTTGTCTGGGGAAGAAGGCAGCTCCTCAGACTCCCGCCCTGCGCCCCTGCTCCCCGCGGGGTGCCACGCCTGCTCCCTCATGCCCGCGGCCTGTGTGACAAGCCACTCTGTACCCTCAACCTACGGACAGCTCAGACTCACTCTTATTCTTCTTCCTGCCAAAGAGGCTCTTGGTGACTTTGGCAAACAGACTCCTAGCCGGATTGGGGGGTGTCAGGTCTGGGACTGTCACGCAACTGCTGACGGGGAGCCGGTCGGGGGTGTAGCCCTGGAAAGAGGAGCGCCGCCGTGAACAGAGAAAAGAGGCTCCCGGGCCCTGTCCCCCCTCCCCGCCCCTATTTGTCTCTGGGAATGTGGGCTTCGGTGTCTGGGGAACCCACAGACCTTGGTAAAGAAGTCATGGCGCAGGATCTGGTCGATAGAGGGGCGGTCTCGGGGCGAGGCCCGCAGGATGGCGGCCAGGAGCTGCCGGGCAGGCAGTGAGAGGCTGGCGGGCAGCGTGTAGTGAACCTGCTTGATGCAGCGGTACGTCTCCTTCAGGTCAGCCGTCTCAAAGGGGGGGCTCCCACACAGCAGAGTGTACCTGTGGGGCCGGGCAAAGGGTAAGGGGGAGGGCACACCGCACCCCTGTGCCCACCCCCGTCTCTCCCTGGCACTCACATGACACAGCCCAGTGACCACACATCTGCCTCAGGGCCATGACCCTGTCTCAGCAGTACTTCTGGAGCCACATAGTTGGGGGTGCCACAGATGGTCCTGGAAGAAGGTAGGGAGGAGGAGGGGGAGGCTCAGCCCCAGCCCCACAGCCCTCCCTGCCCCCGCTGCGAGTCCAGACAAAGCAGCTGCCTGTCACCAAAGGCCAGAGAACTCCTGCTTGTCCTGGGACAATGGATGCTGGGGACGGCAGCTGAGTCCCCGCCTACTCTCTTGGCCCAGCTGCTCAGCTGCGCTATGGGACAGGCAGAGGCCCTGACCCCCAACTCAGCCCCCTCCTCCACAGAGGGCCTGCTACAGCTCCCTTCCCCTCCCCCACTCCCGTCTGTCAGACACCCTCCTAAGGTCTGCGCCACACACACCAACACCAGCTGTCACATCGCCCGTAAACACTCATCTGCCCCACATGCTACGTGTGTCATGCACGCCCAGTCACAATGGCCACAGGACGTCACGTCCCACCATCCCCACGCTCTCTGTCTCACACATACAGGTCTACACTGGCACCTTCCCCCATCCACACCCAGGGTCAGCCACACACCTCTGAGAGTCCTGGCACCTCAGACGCAGGGCCACCAACCCCCTCTGTGTTTGTCATGCACCTCCCCAGTCACAGCGACCCAGGCTGCCACCTCCACCTTCGCACACAAACAACCCCATTACCCTTTCCTCGTTTACCACCAGCACACACCCGGCCGTCACACTGCCTCCCACGTCCATACGCACAGTCTGCCACACACACTGATCTGTGTCACACACAGACTGTGGCCACCCCTCCCATCAAACACTTACTTCTTCCTCTGCTCTGGCGGTTCCAACCGAGCTGCCAGCCCAAAATCCCCCACCTTGAGTTCCATGTTCTCGGTGATGAAGAAATTTCCTGGACAAGGACAGAGAGGTGTGTCAGAGCCCTCCCTCGCTTCCTCCCCAACCCCCCATCCTTGGGGCCCAGGAGCCTCACCCAGCTTGAGGTCCCGGTGCAAGATGCCTCGCTGGTGCAAGTACTTGAGGCCGGAAAGAATCTGCCGCAGGTAGTAGCGAACCTCCGGCTCCAACAGGGTGTGTCGGGCCTTCCAGATGTGGGCCAGGGACTGCAGAGAGCCACTGTCTTAGCCCACCCCACCCCACCTCCGCCCGCCCCCAGCTCTGAGTCTTAAGACCGCCCCCCCACCCGCCGTCCCCCTGCCCCATCCCCGCCAGAATCACCATTCCTCACCTTTCGACTGCAAAGCTCCAGAAAAATGTATATGTTGTCAGCATCCTCAAAGTGGTGCGAGAAGCGCACGATATGGCGGTGCTGCAGGTCTCGGTGCAGTTCAATCTCGTTCAGGATCTGCGATGGGGGTGCGAGGCGGTCATCCTCCCGAGGTTCCCACGCCACCGACCCCACCCCTCGGCCGCCGGGCCCGGACCCACCTTCTCGCGCTGATGCGGCTTGGCGACACGACTCTGCGGGATGACTTTGACCGCGTAGGCGCTGCCGGTCTCTGTGTCCGTGGCCTCGTAGCAGCGGGCGAAGCCCCCCTATGAGGAGAGGCCATCAGGCCGGGCGCTCCAGGGAAGGCGGATCTGGCCCGCAGGCGTCCCCGCGTCGGGTCACGCGCCCCTACCCCGCCCGACGCCGGAAAAGAGATCGGCGGAGCCCCCTCCACCCCACCCGCATCACGGAGAGCCCCCGACCCACCTTGCCCAACAAGCGGCCTTTGAAGTAGGTGCGGCCGCTGCCCGGGTCGGTGATGAGGCGCCCGGGGTCCGGCGCCGGCCGCCCGGCCAGCATCTCGGGCTCGGGTCTGGGCGAGGCACTCTGAGGCGGCCCGGGTCCGGCGGGGGGCGCGGGCGGGGCGGCCGCACGCGGGAAAGGGCGCGGGGACAGGAAGCCGGCGGCAGGCTCCATGCGGACAGCGCGACGCAGCGCGGCCCCGGCTTGCTCTCCGTTCCGCCCGGCCCCGGCCGCGCGTGGCGCTGCCTGGATTTGCTACGCTGCGCTCGCGCCTGAGGGAGCCCGGCGTTTTTATCAATGAACGCCTGTCCCCACCCCGGCGTCTCGTCACCGACAGCCCCGCCCCTTCCTGGCCGCGAGTCCCGAGAAGCCACGCCCCTTGCCGGCCTTGCGTCACCTAAAAGCTCCTCCTCCTACTCGACGCGCTTCGAGGCCCCGCCTCCCGCCCACCCTGTAAAGCATGCACTACCCTGCCGGTCGCCAGGCAGGTGCCAGTGGCGGGCTAACTGAGGCTTGTCTCCCCGTACACCCCTCCCTGGCCGCGTCCCGCTAAAGGGTCCTCCTTCCTTTCCATATTCTTCGGGGTGGGCACTGAAGTTGCAGTGAGGGGCAGGCATGGGCGGAGTCTCCAGCGGGGATGGAGAGCCTTATTTCTTCCAGGGCCATTTGGTTACCTATAACATCTTTACAAAATGATCAGCTTAAAAAATATCCTGCTGTTGGGGCCTGCATTGTGTCCTGGTGGGTAAAGCCCATAAAGCTTTCCATATGGGCACCAGATATGG